TCAGCAGGAGCACTGCCCTGTGAAAGCAGTGGTTCCCTCCCTTGTTCCTCTCGCCTACTTCCACCCCAAGTCTCACCCACCTTCCTTCCAGGGCTCTCCCAGAGAACGAAGACACCCTACTTCTCTCGCAGGACACGGCAAGAAAGCAAAAACTTTCTTACACAGTTCTCTGTGGGAACTTGTTCACAACATATTCACCTAACCCTCAATTCTCACTCAGCAGGACCAAGCTGGAGGAGATATTTTGTATTTCTGTTCTGCACCACCACCCTCCAAGCACGTGCCACGTCCACCTCCAGCGACAAACACAGCAGTAGGAGCGTGCTGGGACCCTGCACGGCGTGCCCAGGAGGGACATCCCTCTGCTCCCGCTGACTCCTTGCTCATGCCACATCTCTGCAGCCTCCGGTCCCACAGCCACCTTCAGCTCAGCAGCTTTACGGTTAAGTAGCAGCAACTGGAAGGCCAGGCACAGTGTGCGTGTTATTACTTGGTAATGCATTAACGGGAGGAGGAGACAGCAGCGCTCTAAGTGGGTCATAACATCAGCCATTACGTTCCAGTTGTTAAGTCAAATGGATTCATTATATTTTATGCCACTAATGGCATCATTCTGAAAGAGACAGCTGCAGCATCTTATCACTTAGAGAGTCTTTCTTCCCAAAAATTAAATTTACGGTGGTGTGCATCTGTATGTAGGGGCGCATTTCAGTGACTCAGAAGACAAGGGGCGGATCACGCCCGGCTGGAGCCAAGCGGTTACTTGCACCATCAGCTTCCCCCACGCTGTATGGAGCACACAGGTCCAAGCACACCTTGCACGCATCTCCATCACCCTGCTCTCACCTGCTCTCCTGGGCCACAACGGTTTTCACCTGCAGCCCCACTGCAGAGCTGTCAAGATGCATTTACTACTTCACCTTTATCCTTGTACACGTTATTCCAGCCACGACAACCCTTCCATAGGTCTGGCTGAGTCCCGAAACCCACAGTCTCTCTGACCATGCAAAGTCCTAGGGCATAGTCACTGCTACACCTCCGGCACCTAAGGAATGTGATGGATGTTTCACCATTTCCCCATCCTCTCCCTTGGGTTTTGTGGTCTTTGGGTATGTTTTCAGCAGCATTCAGACTGGATTTTGGAGGTACCAGTCCTACCTCCAGACCATTTCATGGCTGCTGCAAGTACTAGTGCACTTTGACATGACGAGATGTAGCATACTTTGTTTATGTGAAAATAATTTTTTGTGGACTTTAGTATTTTGTTCACCCCTCCCAAATGTCCTAACATCATAATTTGCCTTATACTTAAGTACAGCCTTATATTCTTCAAGAGTGTGGGGCAAATCATCTCAGCCTTATCTCTGTTGGCTTCCAGTAATTTTCTGCAGGTACAAGTCATCTTACCCCTGTGCAAATAACTGTTCTGTGTCACCAGTAAGAGGAGTTTACGTCCCAGTTTGGGACCATCCCACCAAGAAAGTGCTGTCTTCTACATAAAACAGCAGGTCTGTTCCCAATAGATGGGAAAGGAAAGGCTCCCTGAGGAACCGAGTCCTTCAAGCCTAGTCCTGCACGCAACCATTTCACTCCAGACAGGACACGGCAGCCAGGTCCTTTCCAGCCCATCTGGAAAGCTGGTTCTGGTTTGCAGCTTGAGAAGGGAGAAGAGAAAGGGAAAGCACAGCAGCAGGGTGCAAGCTGGTGTGGAGCTGGGCCACCCTGCACCCTGCAAGCCCAGGCCTCCAAGCCCTCGGCATTAATCACACGGAGTGCAAAGCGAACCAGTGGGTGGGTTTTCATCACAGTAAGGGTTTGACAGCGGGGGATAGCCCACACTCCCCGTTCTCCCAGCGCTGGCACACCATTATATACTATCAGTCAAACAGGACCGAGTCTGACCAAGGTGGCTTCATCTTTGGTTGATGCTAGAAACCTCCCCTTACCTTGCAGTATTCATCGATGGGTATCAGGCGCTTGACCGCAACATCGCGGATGTGACTCCGGCGGAAGAGGATCTTCCCTGAAACAGGAGAGATGGAGAGAGAAGAGCAGGTCAGCACAACGCCCAGGAACGCTCGCTTTTGAATCACTCTGTCAGGACCTATTCCCTGTGCATCCTCTTCTTGCCAAAAGCACTGTACCTAAAAAAAAAAATCCCGTTCCCTCCCACAGATTAAATACCTTAGAATAAAGCACATTTAAAGTGGCAAGCATGTTCAAGGAGAGAGAAGAGGAAACAATTACCAGCAAACTGCATCCCCATCTTCTCTCACCAATGTGGCGATGACAGAGGAGCAGCCCCTATCAAAGCACGTGCCCGATACCTTACAGTCTGCTGGCGTGCAAGTCCTGGGTGTAAAAGTCCACTGGCAAATGCCAGTGCTCGCCAGAGCAGCGGACGTCCCTGCGACTGCCGGTGGGAGCCTTGTTGCAGGCTCCAGGCTTGCTCAGGGCATCCGGGTCTCGTGTGGGCAGAAGCCAAGGCAGAGGGCTTCTCTCTGTGCAACTCCTGTGTCGAACTGGTCCCCGAAGCCACAGTGTCTGGACTGCAGCTCTGAGTCAGACCTATAGGATTTTCCTTCCTGTCTGGGGTTTATTTGTGTTCTCCATTAATGGGATCCTCTTGCCACTCCATTTCCTTCCCCTCTGGCTTGTGGTACAGGCCTCTTTCCTTTGAAGTCTAATGAGTCCTAAATGCTTCAAGCTGCTTTCACAGAGAACGGCTTCTCTGGCATTTAACGAGACAAAAGCCATTAGCAGACAGTGAAACAGATACACATAGAGACTGGGTGATCAAAAGGACGGGTACGGGTAGATTTCAGACCCGAGCTTCCCAAAGCACCAGGAACTGGCACGGCTTTGCAATACAATCACCTGGAAAATTGTGGTTTGGGGGGTGGGTGGTAGCGAAGTTCCCTCAAGTTCCTCCTGACATCTCCCATACCACGGGAAAATCTCGCCTCTCTTTGTCCCTACTTGTGTTCCCAATCCCACCACCAAACCCACGGAGAGCAACTGCTGTGTCTGTCCATGCAGTCCATCCACCTTTCAAAGAGGTGACCATGGGGCAACCCAGAAGCCAAACTCCCCTCACAACCAAATACCAACGCACCCTCATTGCAAGCAATATGAGAAGAGCAAAATCACCCTGGAGAGTCACACAGCCCTTTGCTGCCCCGCGACTACCTTCACCCCCTGCAGCGAGCCTTTGCAGGAGCCGCGGCATTGCTGGAACCAGAGGCTGGATGCTACCAAGCTACTCGTGAACAGGACATGTTAAAATGGCCACACGCTTATCACAATTTTAAAACCAGGGCTGGGTCACCCCCCTGCTTCTCCCGACTTGTCCAGGGTCTGGAACATGCATGACTTGTGCAGCCTGCCAGTGCGTTTTTTAAGCAGAGATGAACTAAGCCAACCCAACTTCGGCTTGCAAGGAGCATGAATCAGAACTTTATGGAGGAGCCAAATCTCCCGCTAGGCTCAGTTAATGCAGAATGCCTCTGAAACTGGACTGCCCAAGGGAGCACACAGCAATCGCTCAGTACTGGCTCTGTACTTGCCCTCCAGTGAAATGCAAAGGGTCAGGCCAGCTCATACCAGAAGGATTGCTTCTCATTTATGTCCTGCTGACAGCGAGGGGCTGGGACATTCATGGTGGGAAATGCTCTGCTCCGAAATGCATTCCTTCTCGCAGCCTGCCAGAGCCAAGTCTGGCAGTCTTTATGATACAGTGAGAAAAAAATACCCCTCTATTCAATCTGTCTTTCAGATTTTGAGGGTGAATAGCCTGGGAACACAGAAGTTGTCTGGAAAAACTGGGAGGGAAAGGGAGCGACAACCAGGTCGGAGCTCCTTTCCTTGCCTACAGCAATTATTTTCCATCAGACAAGCAAATGATAAACAGTTTTCCCTTCTCACCAGCAATCATGGCGTATTTGCTGCATAGGTTTCTACTTGAATGATGATTTTTAACAAGATGAATGGATCACAATAATTTTGTTGGCAATTGTAACGAATAGCTGTTCTGGTTTAAGTCTGCCAAAATGAAATCGCTGATGGGTGGGTACATTATAAATATCTGAAATAATAAGCTCTGGGTGTGGGAATATTTAAATGTTTAACAAACAGATGCTAGTGAATAATAATAAAAAGAATATAGTTTTGGTGAATAAATACATCACAACAACTGAAGTGATCCTAAATTAGCCCAGGCACAGAGCCTATGAACTAGCAGGAAATCCAGCTCCTCTCTTGATTTGCTCTAGATCTAGTATTTTTCAACGAGGAGGTTTATTTTCTAACAAAAAGCTGCTTTTTAATCAAAATGCCTAATTAACATAACTGTAGACCCTTCAGTGCTGCCAAATACAGCAATATAAATCCTTGACTTGAGAGGCAAGAGAGAGCAGGAAAGCACTTCCCTCCTGGGAGGGAAAGATGGGCAACTCGCTGGGTCGACGAGATGCAACATTTTCCTGGGCACATTTTCCTTAGACCATATCTGCAAAATGGGAATAACAGTGCTGCCCACTGGGGCTTTTCACGTGGCCAAAGACCACGTAATGCAAGAGGAACGCATGACGTTATTCATCTGTCTGCAGCCCACATTGCTGTAGCTCCAGGGGACACAGCAAAGGCAATGGTGCCCATCACCCACACCTCCTTCTAAGCATTTTCTGCTTTATGCTTTTTTTGGCTGCCTCCAGGAGCCTGTAACGACTCTCCGCCTGGTACCGGGTCACTGCCCTGCGAATCGTCCCGGTGGACTCTCCTCCTCCTGCCCACAGCAGATACTCCTTCGTGCTGAAGGGGAGGAGAGGGCTCGGGATTAGCTCCTCTACATCCTAAAGGAAACACATGGCAAAGAAATGGGCAGATGGGCCAAGGCAAGAGGGAAGTTACGTCTGATGACTGCCTTGGATAACTGCTGTCCTGGCCTCTTCCAACGAGCAGCCTGACACACAGGTACTGTGCAGAGAAGGGCTCGGCCGCTGGCCCGGCTTTGGCACAGAGTAACCTAGCTCCAGGCAAAGGCAAGCCATGCCGAACAGTGAGGAGAAACGTCTGCACAGAAAGACGCTGGCAGAAAAGAGGGGAAGGTCTCTGGGGCTTGATTTTGCATGGTGATGTTTCCCAGTTGGCTGAACTGTTCACTCAGTAAATCTGCAGCGTGAGAGATGCAGAGCGACAGCGAAGGGGGAGCAAGCTCAGCTGCCTTCGTGGTGTCCAGCAAGAGCAAGGACAGCCTTCACACGGTTCGGATCCTTGACTCCGGGATGCCTGCAAACTCAGCAAAATTTGCTCCAATATGAGAAAAATAACTACCAGCTCTACTCTTTGTTTAAGAACATCCTTTGGCGATACACACTTTACTCCAAACAGCCTCATAGCAGTGCTCCTGCCCTCGGCCTCAACGGCAGCGTGAGGAATACAGAGGGGGAGACGGGTGAAGGAAGGCAATTCTGCACATCTCACTGATTAATGCGGTTTTCCGCTGGCTGGTAAGGTCAGTGCTCCCACAGGCTCCACTCCACCAGCTTCTCACTCTTGCCACAACTCAAGCACTCAGAAATGATTAGATTTGCTTATTTACATACGTAACGTTACGCATGAGCAATCAGAGCAATGAGGCTCCCTCCCTGCTAGCGCAAGAAAGACGGTGCACAAGGAAGTACAGTAAAATACACTGTCCTTTATACACACAAACAAAGCTATGAGTAGACTGAACATTTATCACCTGGGAATGTGTCAAGTAAGTTGATTTTGGAAAAAGTAGACAGAGATAAGGCACCACGATGGAGCGGCTGCCCTGGCAAGTCTCCCTGCGCAAGAAGTACCCAGGCTCGGGATTTGCTGCCTGCTTTTTCTGGATCTTGAAAACCTGTCAGAACCTACAGGGAAAAAGCGGTGCCTCTGAGGAGGACGATGGCTCTGAAGACACTCTGTGTACCAGATACAATTTAGAAAGTGTTCTTTCTTCAGTAGAACCTACAACACTTCATTCCAGTGAATATATTTATTGTACATTACGCTGACGTAGCTGTAGATGCACCAAAGCATTCCATAGGCTTTGCTTGCTATACGTGTTACCCCCTTCCCCAGCAGAAGTTAGGTGTTCTGCCTGCGTCTGCTCTTTAAGGGTAACCTGGCAGTATTATGATTATTCTCCATCAGCATTTTGACTGGCAAAATCTGACCAACACAACCCATCCTTTAAAGAGAGAGGGAAAAAAAAACAAAAGGGAGAGAGCTGAAATATATGCAACTCCCTAAAAATCAAAGCAAATGAAGTCTCTTTGCACTGATCTTCAGTGCAGAAGTGGGAGGATGCTCCCTGCTACCTCTCTCTGGCTATGCCTGCCGCCACGGCTCACACGCTCATGGCCTGGTTACAGCTGCGGGGGGAATTAAGCAATGCAGAACAGTTTATTATTGTAGGGCTGCTTTGGAGTAACAAGGATTAGTTTTGTTTAGAAAAAAAGCAAGCCACCATAAATATTTACATCAACCGGACATGAGAGTCAAAATCGAAATTCACCACCCAAAACAATGAAAGCATCCAGCTTTTTATGCAGTGCATTCCAGAAGTCACCGGGTGCTTTATAGGCAACACGAAAGCAGCTGGGGCAGGTGGAGGACCTCTGCCGCAGCCATGTCCAGGAGAAGACGCCAGCCATCCCCAGGAACACCTCGGGCAAGGGGCGGGCAGGAGTGGCAGCCCTCGGCAGAGGATTCACCATGGGGAGGAAATCCCAAGGGCAAGCGATGCCGATCCTCGCCACGGGGCTCTTCCCCAGGCCCCCAGCCCCGGGAAGGGGAGGCGCCGTGCCCTTCCCGTGCCAAAACCAGCTCTGCTCTGCGGAGACTGCTTCCAAGCAACTGAGGCTTTTCCCTACCCAAAGAAAAGAGGAATTCAAGAGTAACAAAGCAGCAGAAGCCACGTCTCCGGCTTCCCTTGCCGACTCAAGCGTTTACTTGTTTTATCTCCTTGTTGACCCTGGTTTGTTTTTACAGCCA